AGAATTAAGCATCTCTCTCATCTAAAAACTTTTTTTTATAATTAATTGCTAAATTGCTCAACGCTAAAAATATTGAATGATGTAATAATGAGAAATACGGAGATCGAACAGAGGAGGGACCATATAGATTCACTTGGCCAGCATAAAATATATATGTTAGCAGACCCTTGGATAGCATGTTTTTAATATTTTCAAATATATTAATTATTTTACTCAATTTAATTTAGATACAATAAGGCCAAGAGGAAATGAAACATAATAAATAAATATGGTTGATATTGTGAAATGAAACACAAGCACTAGCCATGTTCCCATAATCACTCAATACATTTTCGCCGGAAAAAAAATAGTGATTTTATTTGCTATGGTTTTTTTTTCCCTTCTAATTCTTGTAGTATTTAGAATGAATATATTTTTTTTACTTTGCATATTGGTCTCTCTTTATATAGGCATTTTGGAATTATATAACATGGCCTTTTATTAATTGTCCTTTCAAATATGAATCATTGTTGGCTCATTTTTATCCATACATTTTGAAGACATCAACAAACAACAACATAGCAGTGAAATTCCACTAAGTAAATATTATCTCTATCTCGTAATAGTAAAGAGATTTGTTTCAAATGAACCCTCAGACTTATTTTTGAAGAGTGTTGTCAATCTCCTCATTTTATCCAAGGTTATGGATTACTTTCTCTCAATATAAAATAGATACACATGTTGTTGCAAGAGTAGCAGTACCTCTAGCGCCTATAACTACGTCGAACTCAAAGTCAGCCTCAAATCATACTTGATTTTTGTTAGTAAGAAAAACATGTAAAAGTGATTCAAAATTCAATTAGAAAGTAAGAATAAACCTCTTCATTTCTAAATACAATGTAAATTGATCGATAAACTTAGCTTCAAATTTTTATTTTTTATCTTAATTTCTTACTCACATCAAAACTTCAACAATTATAACTTAGAATAGAATCAATCATCACATGAAGAGAACATTGGTAGGTAAGTGTATAATTGTTCTTTTACATTTTTGTCCAGCTCTATTGTACTTTTTTTTTAAAATATCTCGATGTCTAGGATATTTGTATTGGAGTTCAATTAATTCAAATTTGCAACAGATAAGGCTCCATCCGGAGATAGTGCTCCCTATCGAAAAAAATTTCATACTCAAAACTCGAATCCGAGACTTCTAATGAGCTCTATTTTTGTACGAAAAGAACAGTTATTATTTTGAATAAAATAATTCACAATAGGACAAACCTAGCTATTCAATGAAATTTTAATTGTTTTTTTCTGAAAATAATATCAAAAACTGAAAATATAAACAAATAATTCAGTACAAAAAAGTTTATCAATCAAATCCTAAGGCCAGCGAAGCAAAGACGATGGGGCGAGGAAAAACCTCCTTCACAACTTTTTATGAATTAGAAGAAGTACTTCTATATATTCTCTATGAGAAATATAAGGGAAGAATATTATTAAATTGTTGTTGCGTTAAGGCGGCTGTGTATCGGTCGGTTCGGTTCGGTTTTAAAGTTTATCAATTTGTAGAGATGCTAAATCGTTATAGAACCATTAAGATATTGGCTTATCGGTTATTGGTTTATCGGTTTTTCATCGTTATCGGTTCGGTTATCGGTTTAACCGTTAATATTTGACACAAAAAAAACATTGAAGATCACTTAGAAACAAGGTGGCAAACCAAAGAAACCATGCACATGAGTTCACAACTTACATCTTGCCAAAAGCAAACACTTTTACATAATAGAATAACCAAGTGTTTGAGACAACCAAAAATAAAAGTAGGAAATCAAACTCTAAGTCAAGGACTTTATATACAAAATCGTATAAATATAATTATTTAATTTACTATCAGATTATCGGTTAACCCATTAAGAAAAAACTTCAAACCGTTAAAAACCGATAACCCGATAACAAAAAAAATCAAAACCGTTATCAAAACCGCTAAACCAATAACCCAATACTGATAAATCAATAACTTTTTTTTCAATTCGGATTGTATAGCCTATTCCTATTCTAACATAAACATACTAGTAATCCTTAATAAACATACTAGTATTCCTTTCTACCAGCAAAGAATGAATTAAGTTTACACTAAGGAGACGTGATGCGATAATCACACAAATCCTACGTGAAACTCAAGAGAGAAATTAAGCATTTATCTCATATAAAAACTTTTTTTTAACTCATCAATAAATTACCCATAGCTAAAAATATCGAATGATGTAACGACGAAAAATATGGAGATCGAACAGAGGAGGAACCATACATATATATTATTGGGGGAAAAAAAAATCTAAATGTAGATTCACTTGTCTAGCAGAAAATATATATGTTAGCACACACTTGGATAGCACATTTTCAATGGTTTCAAATATATTACTTAAGAGATATTTTTTCTTCCAACGACAAAGAAACTTACGGGTGGAGCCTTTTCGGGGACTAGCTCGCTTGTATTATTACTCAAGTGGACAAGTAATCCTACTTTATGCAACACATTTGGACTACGTACAAAAGTAAAACTATCTAAATTTCAAGGTGAATTCAATTACAATATCTTCAATTTTTTTCAAATAAAAGTAATATAAATTTACAAACTATCTAAGAAAATATTATATGTCACGATAATTTATAATTCAAACATTTAAAATATATGTGAAAAAATCACATTAAAGAAAAACTCTTTGATTATCTTCTCTTTTTTTTTCAGACTGTTACAATTTTGAATAAAATTTAATCAAAATCAAGGAAGGATTTGGGTGACACAAGTGAAGGTTTTGAGTATGACATGCTTCCATAGTGTCACTATTTAGGTTACCTTTGAGACTTATACTATTTGGGTTGGTTAAAGTTTGAATTGTTTATTCGCTTTAATTTTCTTACTATTTTCTTATAGCACATAACTAAGTTAAGTACCTCCTATAAAAGTCGCATTTTTTTGTGTTTTAAATTATTTATTGTGATTTCTTTAGAATAATTATCACAACTTTTTTTTGTTATTTTAAAATTTTAAGATAATTAGATTAAATTATTATTTTTTTCGATTTTATCTGTAATGGTAAAATATTTTGGCGTAAATAGATACACTTCGAAGGACGACTGCCTCAATAATTGATTTAGGTCCATCTCTTCTTCTTCTTCTTCTTCTTCTTCTTTTTTTTAAAGATTTTGCACATTTTAGTGTTCAAATGGAGTATATTTTTCTAGTTTTCTCTTAAATTATTAGAAAACAATAACTTGAAGGGAAAATGGGGAAGAAAAGAAAAGGCAAAATAGTACCTTACTTTATTTTCTTGATTTAATCCTTCGATATGTTAAATTTATTGATTTAACTAATATAAATCTGTATCAATTCCATTAATGAATCCACCTAGCAACCTACAGACTAATGAGAACTTAATATTTTATCTATAAGTCGTGACTATATTTATTGTTGGTGTGTTACTGTTGATGGATTTATCCTCAATTATAAAAAAAATAAGTCACTAATCGAATTTAAGAGTCGAACTCATGACTTAAAATATTTCAAGTCGCTTTGTTATGTTGTTAGGAGCTTTTTCATGAGTCGATTCAATATTTTATTTTATATAGAAAGAGATAAAAAGAATTTAACTTAGGTATACTGTGATATTTTGATAAAAGATATTTCAATTAATCATTGTTTGGTCAATATATTGGCTATGAGACCCTACATTTTTCTTTTATTACAAATTACTTTTGAATTGGTTTCTATTAAAATTACAATTAATTAATCGATATGGTACTTTTTACTCGTATCACTTGTTACAATGAAAATACTAAAACCATCTTTCTATGATAAGCTAGAGTTTGCCGTTAGCAATATAATACATTAGGGGTGTCAAAAATGAACCCAAACATAGGTTACCCGTTTAGAATTTTAAGAGTTGGGCTAAAAATAATTTGAATTGGGTTCAATCTCAACTCATTCAAGCCTAACCCATTTTAAGAGAATCCTCAATTGAGCTCAATTCAATCTCTAATTTCAACCCGTTTTAAAACTCTTTACTAAGATATGTTCCTATATTAAAGGTATGAATTATTATCTATTTAACATCTTTAGGATTTATCTATCAATTTGTTACTTTTTTTTAAAAAAAATCTTGAGCAGAAATTTGAATTGTGATTATAAAAGTTAAATATCACTATGTTAAAATTATTGAGATTAATCGGGTCAAATTGGGCGGGTCAAGACCCAACCCATTTTTTAGCCCATTTGAACCCAACCCATTTGAGCCCAAAGTAAACTTGGACGGGTCAAGACCCAACCCGATTTCTATCTCAATCCATTTTAATATCTCCAATTTCAACCCAACCCACCCATTTGACACCCCCTATAATACATACGTTAATTTGAGGGAATTATTGTAGATGTAATCTCGAGATTCGAAATGTGGCTTCTCTCAAAAACCTAATATGAACTTTACACAAAATCATAAGTGAGATTCAACATGTGTGATTTCGTATATATTTTGAAAACAAACATATACTATTACGTTTAGTAAATATGAGTCTTTTTTTATGTATCCCAAAAATGTTGGGTAAATTACATAAATCTCATAGTTTTAATATGAAATTACAATCTATCCCTAATAAGTTTTAATTACATTAATCCCTTACAAATTAAAAAAATTGGATACATTAAATACTGGCTCGGATACATTATTATGTAGCTTGGATACATTAAATACTGGCTCGGATACATTATTATGTAGCTTGGATACATTAAATACTGGCTCGGATACATTAATATGTAGCTCAGATACATTAAAAACTAGCTCGAATACATAATATGTAGCTCGGATACATTAAATACTGGCTCGAATACTTTAATATGCAGCTCGGATACATTAAAGAAATAAGGGATTTTAGATATTTTTAAAAATAATAGGGGATAATGGAAATAAGTGAAACAAAAGGTGTGTATTTCTGTAATTTGTCCAAAAATAATGTATCCCAGCCTAAATGGATACACTACGGAGGACAATTGCCTCAATAGTTAACCCAGGCCCAAAACCCAAAAGTACTCCCCAGACAAGGCCTTCTCCAGTGGTGCCTAATTTTGCTCTGATAGAGGCTTTCCTCATCTCGTCCAACACAAACAAAACACTAACACTGCCCATGTTCCCATAATTCCTCATGATATTTCTTGTAGCCTTAAGTTTTTCAGGCCTTAAGCCCAATTTTAATTCAATTTGATCCAAAATTGCGCGTCCGCCTGCATGAGATACCCAAAAGATTGAGTTCCAATCAGAAATGCCAAGAGGTTGAAATGCTTCAACTAGGATCCTTTCAATATTTTTTGAAATCAGCATTGGAGTATCCTTATGTATTTTAGCTATCAGCCCAGCCTCATTAAGGTTACCAATAATTGCATGTCCACTATCTGGAAGAAGATTTTGTGTTGCAAATACAAGCTCAAACAAAGGCCTCTCCACATTCATGATTGGATCTGAACCAACAATGACAGCTGATGCCCCATCACTGAATAAGGCTTGCCCAATCAAAACGTCAATCTCGGTTTCACTTGGTGCATGGAAGCATAGCAAATTAATTTCTGAACAAACAACAAGGACTCGAGCACCCTTGTTATTTTCAGCTAAGTCCTTAGCCAATCGAAGAATAGTGCCCCCAGCAGAACAACCTTGTTGGTACATCATGAATCGCTTGACTGATAGGTCAAGTCCAAGAAGCTTAGTGAGTTGGTAATCTGCCCCAGGCACATCCACACCACTAGTGGTACAAAAGACCAAATGAGTAATTTTTGACTTAGACTGGCCCCATTCATTGATCGCCTTTTCAGCTGCTTCCTTCCCAAGTTTTGGAACCTCAACAATCGCAATTTCTTGTCTAACATTGAAAGAAGGTGTTTTATATTTACATAAATTAGGATTTTTTTTCAAGATTTCCTCTGTTAAGTGAAAATATCTCTTTTTAATCATTGATCTGTCACCTGCAACATATGAAAACATAATTAATTAAAGTTAGCCAATATCCCATCCTAACATATCACTTAAAACTTAAATGTTTATAATTTTGGTTTATTGGTTGAATATGCATTTGTTTCTTTTATTGAATCCAAAATCTTCAAAGTAATGCATATATAGCTAGTTAGATGTTACTAATCCCTTTATATACCCTTGTACATTTATAATCTTCAAGTAAAATGGAATATATGTACCATAAAAGAATAAAATATTATCTTACACATGCGCTTAAACTTTTGTTTAAGTTCAATTTTATGCTCACTATTAGTGACACGAAAATAATAGTCAGGATAAGCGCTTTGATCAAAACAATTGGGAGGATTGGATGTTCCGATGGCCAACACGGTGGCTAGCCCCATGGCCCGTTGGATCTCGACGGCGGTGATCATTTTCGCCGGAAAAAATAGTGAGCTAAGTCTTTTTGCTAGGTTTTTTTTTATTTTTTATGGTAGTAGTAGAATAGAATGAATAAGACTTTGTATGCATATAGTCTCTCTTTATATAGGCCTTTTGACGTTGTAACGTCCCCTCACCCGCCCCTCAAAAATATAAACATTGTTGCTCGAATATGACTTTATCCCAACTTAGGATAAGAAGTTCTCACATCGACAAAAGTACAAGAGAGATATTGAGTATATAAATAAGCAGACCTTAGTGACGTATTTTAAAATTTTGCGAATCTAGATTCAGAATCAACAATATCACTAATAGGTTGGACGGTTGACTGACTTAATTTGAAAAGAATAGTTAGAAGAATGAAATCAATCACAATAGGATATCGGTAGGTACTTATAAAATATATATATATAGCCTTTTATAAGATTGTAGTCTAATTTAGCCAGTAATAAGATAGACATTTGCACTTTATAAAAGTGTCTTTTAAGCACCCATATGTATAAGAGCAACTTCTAATGTGTTAAATAATTACTAGCTCGTTTAGATTGACTTGAAAAAAGTAGTTTTTAAATTAAAAATAAAAAGTTAAATTGAAATGGCTTTTAAGTCAAAAAATAAAAAGTAGGGGGAGATCTATTTTTGATTTTTGACTTATTTTAAGTCATTTTTTATATTGTCAAACACTTTCTAATTTATTTTAACTCATTTTTGACTTATTTTAAGTTATTTATTTTGTCAAACACTTTCAGAAGTCAAAAACTGATTTAAAAATAGGTTTGATCAACTTTTAAGTCAATCAAAATACCCTCTAAATGACATGTATGATTTTTTGTTTATAAATTATAAAGTATAACTTAAAAAAAAAAAAAATACAACCCCCACCCCTAGACTGTCAGTCCATAATTTCTAGCTCTTTCACTTCATAATTATGGAGTCTTCTATTTGTTTTTTTTCATCTTTTAGCTCTATTCTTGATTTATTCATTTTAGGCATAATGGAGACATGTCAAGACACTTCTGTCAAGTGTAAATGTCTACTTTTATAAATATATGTCAAGTCTAAAAAATTATAATGGCATTTAGTTATGAAATATTTTGGAAAAACTATCTTATTAGACATATATCTATATTATATATACTAATTATATCTATAGTTTCAAATAATTACGTATCTTATCGTTAATTATGAGTTTTCTACTATATATTGAGGAAAATATATCTAGATATATGCATTTTTGCAACCAGGTACACTAAAATAGGGAGAGAGGTAAGTGAGATAGTCATGTATATTAGATACATGTGATCACACTAGATATACACTAGATACATGTATATGTATGTATCTAGTGTGGTTCACATGTATTTGGGATACCAAATACATAGGAAAGTAGCGAGTGAGATGGAACAGAGGCAAGTGAGGCGAGGGAGATTTGTTATGCATCTCAAATACATATGAATCCACTAATTAGACACAGTGTATCTAAAACAAATTACACACCCTATGTATCCCGAGATACATGTATCTTGACGTATTAGGATGCACCAAAATATGGTAAGATTCATAATATTACAACTAGAATGTATCTCAATAATTAACTCCTAAACTAGTAAAGTTTCGATATATTTTTTATCCCAATTTTTTAAAACTTTTTTTCTTGCCCAATAATACTTGCCCAAAAAGATTATTAGATAGAATAGAAGCAATCACAATAGGATAAGGATAGGAGGCAATTATATAAATGCTCTTCTTGTCTGAAAAGATAAGTTAGAACTTAGAATAAAACCAATCATAATAGGACAACTACGAGATATTAGATAACTACAGTATTTAGATGTTGAAACTTGGACTACTCTATTTTAATATATTTAAATGGTATTTTTAGGTGATTGATTTAACAAAGAGAATTATTTATACTCCCTCTGTTTCACAAAGAATGACCTCCTTTCTTTTTCAGTCAGTTTCAAAAAAATGACCTCTTTCCTTTTTTAGTAACATTTTACTTTTTGCTTTCCACGTGGCATGTTTAAGACCACAAGATTAAGGGCAATTTTGTACATTTGACATAACTTTAATTTAGGACCACAAGATTCAAAAGTCTTCTTTAATTTCTTAAACTTTGTGTCAAGTCAAACCAGACCAATCTTTCTGAAACGGAGGAAGTACTTTATTTTGAATATTTCTACTAGTGTAAAGTATTAATATGATATAATTGAAATATTTGTTGAAAAGTCAAAGTCATGATCTTTAATTAAACGAATATATGTAAGTCGAAGATGACCAAACTATGATCACCACTTTACCATTCAGTAAAATATCAAAAATCAAACTCTTAAATAATACCAAATTAATTTAATATAACAATGATATAATATTTTTTTTAAATCGTAAACTAAAATCGAACCGAATTTTTCAATAGCGTACCAGGCACAGTACCCCTACGATTGATAAAAGATAGTAGTTGTTAAATAATGCACGAAAATAAATTGGAGAAGAAGAAATACGTGGGATCTCCTAGGCCATAGCCTACTAAGATTCAAGAACGATTAAATATTCAATCTCTTTCATTAAAAAATTATATACATCAATGAAGAAATCTTAACCGTTTCATATATTAAAAAAAAAAGAGTGAAGCAGTATCTTACCACCTCAACTTTACACTGCATATATTTTTTAAAAACCGTAAACTCAACTTTACATTGCATATATTTTTTAAAAATCGTAAACTAAAATTATCGAATCGAATTAGAAAGATGGGTAGATTTTGAGATGAAAATGTATATAGAAATGATAGACTTAACCCCTTAACTAGGATCAAGAGGTTAGGCAACATTTCCCCTCCCCACCCTCCTTATTTTTTTAGGGATAATTATGAATTTGAACTATTCAGTTATTTAGTTTATATAATATAAACAAAATATATAAATAGTATATATGCTTTATACTACATATATTAGACATATAATATAAACTAATAGTATATATTGTGTATACTTTTGTTATATTAAAAACTAGATATATAGTCGATTAATATATATTGATAACTATTCAAAAATTATATGTTCACACGTTATTTATAGATCGGTAGAATCTGTCATACCTCCTTCACCACAAAGAGACTTTTGATGAGAGAAATATCATTTTTAGAAAAAGGAACCTTCTACAACATTGGTAGGTAATTTGGCCGAACAATCTACGACTTGATTAGTCTTATTGAAATAATGTGAGGTTGAATTAAATATCACTAGTGTTATTAGTGTCTTATAAAAAGCTATATGCTTTATGAATTTTCGAGAAAAATAATTTATATTGAGTTCTAAATAAATTATTGATACGATATGCCAAGTCAACTTTTATGGGTCTTGACTAAAGCTACTAAAAGAAACATAAATACATATCCTTTTCTAAAAATAAAATAAAAAATTGAATTTCTATAGATTTATGATTCTCAAGATTATATAATTCTCTATTATCATATGAATTATTGTTATTTGAAAATTATGTTCTTAACTTCCACATAGTACCCCATTATTGGTTTTACAACTAATTGATGATTTTTAATATTACATGTGAATCCTGATTTGTTTTGGATTATGGAATTTTAGTAGTTCAATTAATTATTATTTAACTTTAATTTTATTTTGTTAATGAGGATTCGATTCTCCACCTTTTAATCTCCTTCCCTTGCTCCTAATTTTTTATTCAAAAAATGCTCAACAATGGGATAGAAAATATTAGTAATATTTTTCCAATTTATGATTCCTAGCTAGTTGTCGTATCTAAAAATTTAATACTCCTTAAATAGCTAATTTCTAGATTTAAAAATTATTTCCTCCATTTTATATTACTTGTCTACATTATTAAAAATATTTGTCCTAAATTACTTGTCAGTTTACAAAATCAATCCATTTATTTTCATTTTGTCCTTAAAATTGATTCTTTTTTAAAAGTATAAATATTATAAAGCTTCTCCATTGTTAATCTCCGTACTGATACTGATAAATAAAACACACAAATAGAATATTAAAAAAGAGTTTTAAGAGTAAATTTACTAAAATACCTTTCTTCCTTTTTTATAATTTTTTTAGTTGGCATGTAAAATGGAAAATGAACCACTAATATAGAACCTAGGACTAGTATATATATATATATAGTAACTAATGTTGTTATATCATTTGCATGTAAATCCTCTTGAAATAAATACTAATACAATTTCTTAGTAAAAAAGCAAATATCTTGTATAAAGATGATAAAATGTTTGTGTTCCAATTTGCCGCCATCGGCGAAAATAGTCACTATCGAGGAGCTTAGTAGGGCACAACGGGCCAAGGGACCTGCTAATGTGTTGGCCATCGGAACAGCCAATCCTTCCAATTGTAATCTTTTTGTTATCTTGATTTGCATAATTCCAATAATTCAAAATGTTTTCTTGTAAAGATTATATTTTATTCTCTTCTTTTAATTTATAAAATATATTTAGTTAGGGGGGCTATATGCAAATTATTTTAAAATAATTTATTTAATGTCGATATCTTATTAATCTTCATCTAATTTCTCCATTTATACATATTGAAACCAAGCTTAAGAAAATACATACACTGAAAAGTCTCTGAGTGAAAGAACAAAGGGTCGAAGATCTTGAGTTTTTGCTTTGGCTAATTGTTGTTCTTTGTTTTTGAGATTAATTATAATGTTAAAATTATTTTTTTATTTATATACTAATATTGAATTTTCTTGATTTCTTCGTGTTGGAACTCAAATTATGTTTTAATTGACGTTGGTTTACATTTTTGATCATATATTGTAGGTGCTAAATCAATGATTAAGAAGAGATACTCACACTTAACCGAGGAAATCTTGAAAAAGAACCCTAACATTTGTGAATATAATGCACCTTCTCTTGACGCTAGACAAGAAATAACAATTGTTGAGGTTCCAAAACTAGGCCGGCCAAGAGGCCACCCAAAAGGCCATCAATGAATGGGGCCAGCCCATA